GGAACAATTGCAGGCCAGGTCAATGTACTGTGCAGTTCTTTGGCCACCAGATGCGCGGCTACGATAACATCTAGAGCGCCCGCCACGTCAAGGCCCACAAGTCGGGCGAGCAGCACCAGGCGCTCTCGGACGAGGATAGGCGCATCACGGACGCCAACGTGGTCGCCGATGCGTTCGCCAAATAAGCTGCGCTCTTGCACCCGCCCGCTTCTCTTGAGTTCCTTGTGAGAGTTGAGGAAGCTTGCACCCATGCCAATCACTTTGTTAAGTTGTGTGCCCACGTTCTCCCGTGGTTTGAGCTTGAGGAGAGGTTTTCCAGGCTCCCCGTTTTCGAGCGGTCGAGGCACACTATGAAAGATAACTGGCGTGACTGGTGCAGGACCTCTATCGGCACACAGTGTAGGAATTGTCTCAGCGTTTTGGAGCCTGGACGAGACAGACCCAGGCTGGGCTGCAGAGGATTGCCCAAGTTGTTGAGAGACTTCAGGCACAACCCCCTGGGCCACCAGTTGGCTGCTGTTTCCCAGGGGAGCGTGCCCAGCTGGAGCTGCGCGGGGCCTGCCTGCACAGCTCCAGTTTTTGTCTGTTATTTGTGCGGGGCCTGGGCTCAGCAGCGTCGTAAAGATAAGCTTCGTTCCCCATGCGTGAAGCCTGCGTCTAAGGGCGACGAAGTGCTGCGAAATCTCAGGAGGGGCGTCGGCCCGCATAAGAGGCTGGCCAGACGCATCGATTCTGTCGCGCCCCTTCAGAGAGTCGCCCCCGTCAGCGCCCAGCCCTCATCGAGTTCCACAAGCGTCACTCGATCGAATCCCGATTCTGTCCTGTCCTACGAGGCTCGTATGGCAGCACTGCACGCCCGAATCAAGGCAAAGGAGGAGGCTGCCCGAGGCACAGCCCCTTCCTGATAGAGCAGCGGCCACTCGCTGCTCGTCCAGTTCCAGGCGGGCGCGCGCGCGCCCGTGCTGTCAAGCAGTCATGTGACAAGGTGCTCTTGCAGTCATTTAGTCATTTAGTCCTCCTCCTCCTCCTCCCTCCTGCCTCCTCCCTCCTGCCTCCTGCCTCCTCCCTCCCTCCTCCATCCCCCTCCTCCTCCTCCCTCTTCCCTCCTCCCCTCTCCCTCCTCCCTTCTCCCTCCTCCTCTTTTCCCCTCCCTCCTCCCTCCTCCTCCTCCTCCCTCTCCTCCTCCTCCTCAACTCCTCGTCTCCCTCCTCCCCCTTCTCCTCCTCCTCCTCCTCCTCATCATCATCATCATCAGCATCATCATCATCACACCATCATCATCATCATTATTCTCCTTCCTCCTCCTCCACCTCATCCTCCTCCCTCTCCGCCCTCCTCTCTCATCCTTCCTCCCTCCCTCCCTTTTCCCCTCCTCCCTTTTCCCTCCTCCCTCCTCCTCCCTCCCCTCCTCCTCCTCCTCCTCCTCCTCCTTCTTCTCCTCCTCCTCCTCCTCCTCCTTCTCCTCCTCCATCTCATCTTCCTCCCTCCGCCCTCCTTTCTCCTCCTTCCTCCCTCCTCCCTCCCTCCCTGCCTCCCTCCCTGCCTCGCCGGCCGTCGCGCAGCGGATCGAGAGGGCGCGGCTCCCGAGTCGCAGCAGCGCCCTTCCGTACCACGCCAGCTCGAGGCCCCGCCCCCTCCCCACCGCCAGAACGGGCGGCCGGCTCGACGCCAGCCTGCCACAGGCAGAGCCCTGGAGGGGCGCGCCGCGTCCCCGCCAAGCCCTGCGCTCTGCACCTAGGATCAAGCCCCCCAGGTTCTCGAGCTTCGGAGCTCGAGTTCGAGCTTGAGCCAGCACTGAAACTGCAGCGCATGTCCCAGGCTCTCGTTTTCGATGCTGTCGGCCACCTGGAGAGGGGCTCTTGGACGCATTTCGTGGTTCGTGGCTCTCGGGCGCCTCGTCCGCTCCTGGAGGTCTGTCCTGCCTCTGCGCGCGCTCCGTGCGCCTCGTCTAGGGCGCCTCGCCGAGGGGGCCCCCGTGGATGTCCCGAACGGCGGAGAGCCCCAATCCAGGGCCTGAAGAACCAGCAGGGGCCCAGATCTCCGACCCGCATGGTAAGGAGGAGGAGACGGAGGAGGAGACGGAGGAGGAGACGGAGGAGGAGGAGGAGGAGG